TAGGAAAAGATTTTGCATCTTGTTCTGCCAAATTTTACTCAACACCTTTTGTGTTTAAAAAGATATTTACAGCTTCCAAAACTGTTTAACTAAAAAAAAAAACACTATTGAAGTTTCAATAGTTTAGAGAAACATCCGTCTTTAAACTTTCAATACGCGAAAAAAAATTTAAATGAATTAAATAGAAATTTAGGCACTTACTTACGTACTGATCCACACGTAAAAAGCAGAGGAAATGTTTACTTTTTGAAATAATTTTTATCATTTTTAAGACCTTGCTTAGGTCACGACAATTGTCGGAATTGAAAAATAGAGATTATTCATCGATTTAGAAGTCGGATATGTTCATTAGAGACACTAATTGATCTCCGACTTTGAAAAGTTATGGAAAGAAACAGTTTGTTTACAAATATCACTGTGCTGTCGCCATTATAAAAAAAAATCTATTTCATCAAACAATTCTTATTGTGTAGAATATTTTCCTAAAATAAAACTTAAATAAACGTTTATTTGTTTTTAACACAAGAGAAAATGGCTTCATCACCTGGTAAAAAGCGGGTTCGAACGTGTCTTGCTTGTAAAGTACCCCAAAAAGAAAATGGCAGTTTTACGAGTCGTATATTTAAGAAACGACAGCTCTTGAAGCCGGGTTCGTCTCGCGAGACTCTTTTTTGCACCTATGCAAATTTGATCTGTCACTCAAGCTATAAAAAGTGCTTGACGAGGAGACATCGTAGTGCGATTTTTTTTTTTTTTTTTTTTTGCGGGTAGCGAACAGGAGACACGTGTGGTGGATTGTTTGGCTTGTGCGGCATTGTTTGGTGAACGAAACAGATTAGGAAATTTTATTCCAAGCACGACGAAATTGAATACACTTTCTATTTCAGTAAAAATCTTTATTTCAAAATATCTCATACGCAGTTATCAATGACGAAAGTACAGCTTCCAAACTTTATACAGATTGAAAATCGTTTATCCGAAACTATTAGGAACGGAAGTGATTCGGTTTTCAGTTTTTTTCGGATTTTGAAATTATTTAAAAAATTTTTTTTTTTTATAAGAATTTCACCCTAAGCAAGGCGGGAAGCCACTAGCATGCAAGGGGTTACAGAGGATTTGGAGCGAGAGCAGATAGGAGTGATAGAGGAAAGGATGAGGAGAAGGATAGTGGATAGATCAAGGCATCTGGAGATGTCGACAGACATTACATTTGAATAGTTGGAGATTATAGCTATCAGGGAAACAGGAAAAGGGGAGGGTGTTCCACAGGCGAGAGGTGCGAGATATGAAGCTATTGGAGTAGAAGAGACGGCTACATTTAACAGTTTCAACAGTGAAAGGGTGAGAGCGGGATGCCAGCCACGTAGGACTCTTGAATTCATGGAGGGTATTTCATTTGTATAAAATGGAGCATCTTGGGAATGGATCCCAAGTATAAAGACGATATCCCTTAAAGAGTGACCGCTGTATTCTGCCGATAGACAGAATCAAGAAGCACATTCATTAATGGCGAGAAAAGAGTAAAAAATAAATGACGGAATGGGAAAATCAAATTTTGTCCCAGCCCAGATGAAAAAAAGGGGACAAAAACAAACTGGGGAGGTTAGGAATCTCGACATGGATCATAACAAAAGAAACTTTCGGGAACAGGTCGGGAGCAACACTTATTAACTAGAAAACAAATAGTGTCCAACTTAACCGTGGGTCAGGGGTCACAGGACTTAAAAAAAGGAACTCAAGACTAGCCTCTTTTACATGAACCAAACTTGCTAATTTCACTCAACTGTGGCTGAAATCTGTCGATACCAAACGCTTTCTACCATTTCTGACCTTCACATTCATCTGATGTTGAAAGAATCCTACCAAAGTCTGATGAGAATAGCGTCCGTATCGTAAGACCCCCATTCGCGACGTCCAGATCACCATTCTTGCCACGTCAGAAACAACATTCGTTTCTCTCCAGAATATTGAGGTGACACATTATCGCAGGCGTATATGCGAGATAGATGAGTGATACGAGCCGTCAACTCGCTGATATAGTCCCAGACCTGTTTCTCCAGAGTCGTAGAAGGCGTGCGAAACCTTTTCTTCTAAACCAAGGTCAGACCGATGACAGTCGGGCAAATTCGCCCAGCCCCATCTGAAGGTCCTGTCATTGAGAGATGACACATTCCGAATCAATCGCTAGCTGGAGTCCGGGCCCGAACCACACTGCAAGGATGCGAACGGTCCATCAGTTCAATCAAAGGGCCCTGGAAGATCGACCTCCTTCCAGTCACCTAACCGAAAGACTTGTTGTGGTTAATCTTGGCCCACGTGACCTTTTCGTACCGTTCAAGCGCCTTTTGTACCTCCTCAATGTCGCTGCGGCACGACACGAAAATGGTTACGTCATCGGCGTACGCGGAAACCCTGGCTCGAGCCTCACCAGGGACAGCGATTCCACGTAGGGCCGGATAGCTCGCCCTGTCCTTCAGCCGGCGATGGAGAGGCTCCAATGCCAGAGTATAAAGTAGGGGCGACAGTGCTCAACCCTGACGAACCGACTGAGACAGCGCAAAAGCACGCGACCGTTTTCCCGTTCACTGGAGGCGCGATACAGTAGACTAATACACCTGCAGAAGTCGGGTTTGAATCTTGCGGCCTGCAGGACAGCAGCCAGGTACCGATGGTCGAACTTATCAAATGTCTTGGACTGATTCAAATTCATCAGCGCAGCTTGCTCGTCGTCTTTTACACCCTCTATGATCGTGCGGATCTGATGCAGGTTGCTCTGAATTGTTCGACCCTTCACAGCACAAGTCTGCTCGGGTCCCAACAGGAGCTCGGCAACTGACTTCAAACACTCCGTCAGGATATTGGCCCAGATCTTTAACTGTGTTTAGTAGAGTTATGGTAATCATCTAATTTCCGCCCACCATTCTTGCCCTTTTTCAACAGCGTGTTCACACCGCTGGTAATCCGATTGGGGATGGACCGCGCCCGAAACTAGTTGTTGAAAACGATAGTCAAAATCGGCACAAAAATGTGCAACAGCTTCAACTACAATTCATATGTCAAACCTCAAGTCCCGAAGATTTGGCACTGCCGACCCTCTTCAATTCCAAGTAGACTTGTAATCTCACCCTCACAGCAAGCCGCTTCAGTCGACGAAAGCCAAGGAAAGTCAGCCAAATAGCTGCAAAACTCATCAGTGACTAGCTAAACCTATCCTGCCCGGACAGACTGTCCTTGAGAACCTACACCTTTCTAGCCTTATCTAGTGCGAGCCGCTGGCTATATTCGGTGGTGAAGTACCTAATCCTATCTTTAAGCCTCTCCCACAACCTGTTCCCAATAACTGACCCCTAGTTCCCGCTGTACTAGTCTAATTAGTTGTTGCTAGATGTCCTGCCTGTCCAGTAAAGACATTGAACTGTCTAGCCGTTCTTGGCCTAGAATCTAACTCTGATCCGAATAACTTAATCAGTAGAACGTGGGACAATTTAATAAGTCTATATTGGCCCTCCTTGCTAACATTCTATTCAGGTATCTGGCTACCCGAGTAGAAGGCCACTTAAGTGGCCCACGTCCACATCTCCCACCCAGGGTGATCGACGAGACCAAACTCACCAATGACATCATGACGACCGCTGGTACCCATCGGTGATGTTTGTCTCAGTGAGGCCCAAAGTATATTTCATATACCGGCTTATCAGCCCTATACTATCTTGTTACCTTGGTAACAACTTCCGAGTTTGGAATCATCTCATGACACGTTGGATTGCTTGCCCTCAACTATGTGTGCTGGCGAGGGCAGCAGAGAATCAATCTTAGTCTGTTCAAATGCTGTTTATTCTTCATATTCCCACTTCCAGAGAGTTGCTTTCTTGGTTAAACGGGCTAAAGTGACTCGGTCATTGTGGCCAGGTTTGGGATGTTGTGGGAGTGCTGATTGTGTTTAGGTAGAAAACACGTAAATCCTGGTATATTTTTTCCCACAACAATTATTGCTGACTCGAATATAAGTCCAGGTAATAAATGAATAAAGTAACAATAAAACTATATATATATATATATATATATATATATATATATATATATATATATATAATAAACAATAATGTATGTATTAACGAAACAAGGGTATACATAGACAATAGAAGATTGTTGCGTGTGACAAAACAATGAATATGAAAGAAGAAAACATTTAAACTAGTGAAGGTGTTTGTATAGAAGTAAGTCCTAGAGGAAAGTAAATGAACGTAAAGTGATAGGTATGTGGGTGCATGTGTACCCTCTCCGGCGTGGAACGCTCTTCTCCATGTGCGACCTACATATTATCGTGTAAGAGAAAATGAGAAAAGATAAAATGACAGGGAATTGTGGTGAACAGCCCCGTAGAAGCAAGCGAGCCAGAGTGGCTTGCATCTGGTGTAGAGGAAAATAAGGGTCTTACCTTAATGTGCGGCACGTGACATCAGCCAGTTTGCTTCGTGAAAATGGCATTACTCTCCCGTCCAGCCATTCTAGCAGTATGTGCAATGATGAGGGGTTTTTTTTTTGTACAGTTTGGCATGCTTCCACCAATAGCAAGTCATGTGTTGATTGGTCGAACTGGAGGAGGCAATTTGCCTGTGTAACCGAGAATAACAGCGAAGAACGCTGATTGGTTGGGGAACCGTGGTGTTGGCCTGATAAAAGAGGTGCTGGAGCAGTGAAAAAGGGGAGAGAAACGTCGGCTATACGTAGTGGAGTGTGAAGAAAGCGAGGACGGGGGATTGAACCGGCGATATTGTGATTTGTACAAGTGACTTTGCAGCAATACAGACTTATTTAAGCTACAAGAATGTAAGTGTGGATTCGTAGGCTTGAGAAGCATCCCCTAGCTTCGTTTTTTTTTAGTAAAGTAAATGGTGTAACCCCATAGAGATGATCTTCCCGTAGAATTGAATCGAGCCTAAGAAAGACTTTAAGCTTGAAACGTCCGAAGGTGGTGGCATCTTCATGATTGCCTTGACCTTGGATCCCTGTGCAATTCCTTCTGCTGATGAGGTGTAGCCCAGATATTCCACACTGGGTAGTGCGAACAGGCACTTTGTCTTTCAAACGAGGAAAGAAACATCCTAGGTTGCTCAAGTGATTATTGGCGTCTTGCCCGTTGACAAGCATATCGTCTTGGAAGACGACAACTCCAGACAGATCACCGGTTAGGTTCTCCATGATATCCTGAAAGTAACCAGGTACTGACTTGATTCCAAATGGGAGTTTTTGCTGCAGGAGTTCTCCACTGTGAGTGCTGAGGGCTAGCCTGTATTGACTCTCTGGTGCCAGCTTCAT